ATGTAAAAAACTCAAATTTCACTTTTCGAGTGACGGATCAAAACGAACGAACAATGAAAGGAGACCATTAAATGTTATCTCGGTTTTTGTTGTGTACATAAATCGAATCCAACACAATCGGCCTGAAATCTAACTCCAATCCCACCTAAACAAAGTTGAAAACTTCCCGGGAAAAAAACTTTCTTATGTCCGAAAGATATTTCACAAGAAAGCAACGTTCAAAATCACTGTCAAAATGCTCCAAATACTCCCACTGTAATACAAATCACTCTGTATTCCCGAGCTCGTCGTCGAATTCGCTGATGGCGCTGTTATGTTCACAGATGTCCCGTTTCTACCATTGCCGCGGCTGCAACCACATAAAAAGAACAAATATTCTAACTTGGTCGTTGGTACTAGTAAAGATTCCAGTGTTCAATGTGGACTAATCAATCTAACCACCAAACAAAATCCTAATATGGTTAACAAGAATTCACTTCTTCATACATATATATATCTGAACTACCAAAAGCAAAATGATCCATACTAAATTAGATTGTACTTTGACTGAACACCTCGACCAAAAAAAAAGAAGAGTGAAAGAGAATAATTTACCTTCCTGCAAACACACATGAACCATGACCTGCATTGAAAGCACAAAGCAAGAACATAAGCATTTTTCCGCTAATCAATTGTATCAAAAGGGGTAAGAAAAAACAGTACTGCACAATGTAATGTTATCAAAAAAAGCTTTTAGTTTCTTACTTGGATCTGTTGTGGTGATACTAGCAACTCCATTGAAGTTGCAAGCCTCAGGATTATTCCCAGTCTGATGATAATAAGTATCAAACGCATAGTTAGCATGCGCGATCACATTATCCGGTTCATAACAAGCCTCTCCTTGTTTAATAGGTGAGCAATCGATCTTCCCGGGGCCACAAGCCCAATCAAGAGCAGCCTGAAGCATCTTTGGATCAGCACCTTCTCTTGCAGTACAGTAAGTCTGGTTCGTGGTATCGTTAGCTAGAATCGAGCCTGAGTTAGTCAACCGAAGTATGTAAACCGGGTCACCGTTTGCATTAAACAAGCCCCAATTCTTCTCTGATAAAGATCCTGCTTTTGTATCTTCATTGTAAAGCTCGTAAATGTAAGTACTCACAGCGATTCCCGGGCGCTTAGGAGTTCCTGTCTTGTTAAGAACATGTCTTATGAGATTGCTGTTGTAAGTGTTGGCGTTGTCAAGTGTAGCATCAGGCTCCTTGGTCTCGCCTTTTGAAGGCCAGCCTGATTCTGTAACCAAAACCGGAATGTTTGTGAAGTTAAGGTATGCCATTGCGAAATACGTTGCATCAACCATTGCATCAAAGGCATTTGAGTAGTGAACAAGTGTATTGGCATCAACAGCTTCTTTGTTTGGTGGAATCGGTTTAAAGAGGGCGTAGTCAAGAGGAATCACGCCGTTTGATTGCATATAGTCATAGTAGGGATACACATTGATCATTAGGTATGAGTTTGTGGACTGCAAGAAGCTAAGTAATGGGACTATAACTGGATTCAAGGAGCGGTTAAAGAAGGCTTGTGAGGG